AGAGAGAGAGAGAAATGTTCAAAAAACCTTGTTCTTGAGAATATAGAAAGGATCGCAATCATCAAATATCAACAGAAAATAAAAAAAGTGCAGTGGGAAAAGTAATTAATTACCTCGAGCATTGAGAGCTAGCTGTGGATGTCCCAGCGCTGACAATACAGTTTCCACTAATTGACTCAGTACTGTAGTGCCAGATACTATAGCGTAAGTGTCAACCAGTATATGACCATCGTGAGCGCATGAAAGACAATGCTGCGCCCGAACTGTTTCCACCGCCACCCGTACGGGGAACATCTGTAACGGCGATCTCTCAAATTTAGCAATGAAAAAGTTCAAAAAAGGCAACTTTCAACATGAGAGTACATAGAATGAAACGCGAAAAAGATTGCAATGGTCGCTGGGGCACTTCCCGAAAATGCCACATGCACAAGAAGCAAGCAGAAGCAAACGCTTGTCGGCGTGCGATCAAGAGATAAAGAAGTCACATAAGCTCGGTGAACGAGGCAGACAGCGTGTTGAAGACCGGGATTCGAGCAAAAACTGGCTAGTACGGTGAAAGGCGACAAACACAGTAACAATGAAAGGAAAATGAGCGACAGATCTCGCTGCACGTTAGCAGAATTCGAGCATGTGATAAGCATAAGCTAGCAGAAGTGAATAGATAGTGTAAAAGGCGTGATCAAGGCAAGGATATCGGGGTTACTGTATTGACGAAAAGGTCAGACGGGCTGGATCTTGGCAACCGACTGGCGCGGACCGGAGCGATTAGCCTAGCCTGAACCCCGCCCCCAATCGTCCCCGCCCTCGAAAAAGCCAATCTCGACACGGCACAACCCGAGATACGATTATCGTATGCCAAAACCAGCTCGAACTTCACCTCGGTCAGGCCCTACACTTGACAAGCTCCGCGACGCACACGAAGCCACTAGAAGACGTCGCCATTGTCGGGCCAGCCGCTGGCAAGATCGCAGCTTACCTCACTTGTTATTTGTTTACTGGGTGATAAAGCAACAAATAGCAACCCAATTACTGCTTTTTGTAATGTACTAAATAGAAAACCATATGAATACTCTTAGGTTCTCGATA